CGGGAGTTGGGGGCTGTGCCTCAAACAGAACCAAGCAATCCGGGGGTGCTTCCCCACCTTACAACCACTCATCTGGTCCAGCCTCTTATTTGCAAGTGCAGAGCAGAGATGCCAAGGGATGTTATGCCCACCTCTGAGGGTCACCTAGCAGGAGACCTGGGCCCCACTGGCCCACTCCACCTCTCATCCAGCAGACAAACCCTGAGCACTGGCTAGGCCAAGCCCCAGGCAGAGGGCACAGAGGCCCTCTTCTCGGCCATCCCAACACCACTGGACCCTGACCACATCTTCCAGGGCCAAGGGCTCCAGCCTGGGCACCTCCAGGCAGGCCTCAAGCAGACGCCTCCCTCCCTGCTCTGCCTGCGCTGACTGTCCCACGTCCCGGTCTCGGCCCGTCCAGGACTCAGCCACACACAGCCAGGCTCACACATAATAAACGCAGGAGCCAGGCCGACCCTGGACAGAGAGCGGGCTAGTGGTGCCAAAGCCTCAGAACCAGGGGCAGCAGGAGGAGCAATGCCCAACTCAGGTCTAATTTCTGCAAAACATTTTGTTCAACTCCCTTCCAGCTCCGATGGGCAAGGATAACAGAACCTCACTGAACTATCCAGAAAAATCACTGCCTTTTATAGACAAGAACACTGGTCCCAAAGAGGTCAAAACCAGGCTCCACAGCCACTGAGGCACTCAGGCCCCGAGGCAGGGTTCTCATGCCCAGTACCCGCCCCCCCCACCTGCCTTGTGAGGGTTTGCAGGGGACGTGCACCCCACCTTCACCTTCTGACTCACTGGACTCCCAACTGAGGCCAGTGGGGAGCATGTGCCCAGCGTGGGGCAGCCAGGTGGCAGAGCTGTCATTGTTCTGTACTTGTGGTAGGAGCTGGGCATGGCAGAGGCCCTTCCCAGCAAGACTCCTGTCCTCTCTCACCCAACCCCAACCCAGGACAGGCCTTACAGGAAGATGTCCCGGCCCACCCAGGGGGTTCCATCCGGGTCACTGGGACCTCCTTCAGAGAGCCCCCATTGCCTGGAGCCTGTGTGACCTCATGAAGTGACAGAGCCTCAGCCTCTCACTGTACAATGGGTGGACAGCCTGCCCTGTTGTCACAGGGACCTACCAGAATGGGGTCGGCACAGCCCTGCACACCCTGGCAACTACCTTCCCCAAGCCCTGGCTTCCCTGCCTGTAACACAGCTCTCACTCCTGCTCCAGGAGCCACTCTGGCCCTGAGGAGGCGGCTGAAGCCACATTCAACACAGATCAACCTGCGTTCATCCCTCTGAGCCCTCTGGGGCCTTCCAGCCTGGCTTTCTCCCTGGCCAGCAAAACAGCAAGGGAGGAGAGGCTGCAGGATCCAAGCCCCCAGCCAGCCCGGCCACCCTCCCAGCACCTGGCTCAAGGGCAGGTCCCAGAGAGTGCAGCCCAGGCTGTTTCGTTCCCTGGATCCTTCGTCCACTGTGCCTGGAACCCCAGCAGGCTCAGTGCACTCAGGGCCCGCACGTCAGCTTGTCTGCTCCGCACACACAGCCCATCAGGTTATGCGTGGTCTCGTCCCACAAGAGAAGGGTACACTGAGGCTCAGAAGGTGACATAGCCAAGCTGGCGTGGCCAAGTTAGCCTTTCCTGAGGCCACCTCCCCCCACTCTGTAGCCCCCATCCCCACCTCATCTCTTCCAGGCCCAATCATCAGCAGGTGCCCTTTGTCCCCCGTGTGCCTGTGGCACAGCTGCTCCACTTGGTGCCAGCTCCTCGGGGCAGGGCTTGGGACTGTCCTGTTCCCAATGGGCCAGAGCAGGCACACAGAGTAGGTGCTCCAGGGTCGGGGGCTCAGTGAGAGAGGAATGCTGGACGGGCTGCCCGGGGCCAGATTCCATGCCACCTGATGACCTGGAGACAGGTCCTTAGGGCCACACCCTTGGTTGGAAGGAAGAGCCTCTCCTTTTCTAAACTACTTTTTGTACAACAGCCTTGGCGCGGCTCAAAAGATAAGTGAGGTTCTCAGGATCCTGACCTGAGGCGCCCCAAGGAGGGGAGACACGTGCACCCTCTCTGCCAGGTGAACTACTGGGCCATCGGAACCCACAGCTCTTGCCCCACCCGCACTGGCACCGGCTGTGTCCACGTAGCCCTGATCCCACTCGGCTAAAGAGCGCAGCTCTCAGCTGCCGTAGGTGGCTGCCAGGACCCTCCACTCTCTGCTCGGGCTCCTGGGTGGAAGGAAACACCTGTCTCTGTTCCCGTCCCACCTCCGGGAGGCCCCACCCCACCCGACCCCCAGGGAGGCCAGCCTACCCAGTTGGCAGGCGTGGGGCACACCCCGGGCTGCCCCCAACTGCACCCACCCCACTCGCAGCACACCGAAATCAGGCAGCCGCGATGCCACCCCGATCACGTACCTGTGCGAAATGCAGTACCTCCACCCGCGGCCCACAGCCACTCCCACCCAACTCTGAACCTCCTCCCGCGGCCCACAGCCACTCCCACCCAACTCTGAACCTCCTCCCGCGGCCCACAGCCACTCCCACCCAACTCTGAACCTCCACCCGCGCCCACGGCCACTCCCACCCAACTCTGAACCTCCACCCGCGCCCACGGCCATTCCCACCCAACTCTGAACCTCCACCCGCGGCCACAGCCACTCCCACCCAACTCTGAACCTCCACCCGCGCCCACGGCCACTCCCACCCAACTCTGAACCTCCTCCTGCGGCCCACAGCCACTCCCACCCAACTCTGAACCTCCTCCTGCGGCCCACAGCCATTCCCACCCAACTCTGAACCTCCACCCGCGGCCACGGCCATTCCCACCCAACTCTGAACCTCCACCCGCGGCCACGGCCATTCCCACCCAACTCTGAACTGTGCAGAGAGGGCGGGGCTCATCGGCCCTCGGACCTTGCCCGGGTTCCTGCCTATGGGTCCTGTGAGCAGGTCCAGGTCAGAAGGAGGGGTGGGAAGTCTTTTTTACCTCACACATGTTCACCCGTGTGACCGAGCCTCACCACTTCCTGCCAGGAAGACCCATCATTGCTCCCATTTTACAGGTGTGGAAACAGAGGGGCAAGAAGTCAAGCATCCAGTAAGACACTGGGAAGCCAGGCCCTCCTGCCTCTAGCCCAGCCTTGGCCTGCTGCACTTGCTAGGAAACGCCACTGAGAGCAGGGAGGGGTGCCAGGGATCAGACGGAGTAGGTGACAGCAAGGGTGGCCAAGGTGGAGGTAGGGAGAAGCGGTGCTCTTGAGGTGAGAAGTGGTCTGGGACAGTGACCATCTGGTTACAGCCTTTGGTCAGGTTTGGGACCTTCATGGAACAAGGCAAGCCCAAGGTCTTGGGGGGCAAAAAATCACTGCTGTCTGTCAGCCCCAGGCCCAGAAGCTCGCCGCTCAGCCCCTCTGGCCAAATGCCACCTGGGCACCAACCTGGTACCCTTTCCACTCAACTCTCCCTTTCGCCAGGGCCTGCCAACCAGGGAGAGGCCTCCCCAAGCTGTATCACCGCCATCTGGATGTAACTCCCTAAGGAGGTCACGTGCATAGGCACTGGGCACCAGCGGACACTCTGCCCACCCTGGCGGTGAGCGCGAGGGCTCACACCAGCTTATGTGCCCCTCTCAGGCTGTGTGCACCTCTGCCCGAGTCCTCAGCCAGTAAAGTCACGTCTGTGTAGCTTGGGCGTAGTTACACTACAGAAATTGGCCAGTGCCAATTCAGGATTTAGTTAAGCATTTGTTAAGCGTGCCCTCATGTCATTTTTGAGCCCAGCCACCCATGGTGACTCCAAGACCTCCTCACCATCCAAACTGCCCACTTGTCTGAGAAAGAAGCCCACACACCCGGCCTTCCTCCTGTCTCCCACGTCCAATGCCTGACTGCATCAGCCAGCCACCCTCACCATGTCCTGGGCTGGTACTGAGGACAGAGAGAGGACCAACTGAGGCCCCCAGCCTTACTCAGGGCAGGCTTCCGGGAGGAGGGCAAAGGCAGAGAGGAGCAGGTAGCTGAGGAAACGACCTGGAGGCTGCGTCTCATCCCCGCCTGCATTTTCTCCCTCCTGCTGACTGCCTGTGGGGGCCTGTCCACAACCTGCCCCGCTCAGCCAGCCAGCCATGCCCCAGCTCCAGGTCCAGCACTGGGCCTGGCACAGAGTAAGTGCTTGGCGAACATGTTGGGGGTGTTGAGGGGTGACCAGTTCCCTAGCGGGGCTATTTGGAAACAGTCCAGGAATTCCTACACAGGGCAGCTTCTCCTCCTTAGTAACCACAGTGAGGGGGGCCAGCGTGGTGATTGGGAGACCCCCAGTGGCTAATTCCACTCAGGTGACAGGCTCGGAGCCACCCATTGACAGCAGCTCCAACGCCCCCTTCAAAGATGGGAACACCAAGGCTCTGCTTAGCCGTACAGGCTAGGGGTTGCACCAACTCCACCTTTCTGGGCCTGCATCTCCTCATCTGAGAAATGGGGTTGATGAACTTCTTGGGAGGATTGCAGGAACTCTGTGAAGCACCGCTCTGCACAGGGCTGCCAGGGGGCTTCTGTCTGTGTAAGGCCACAGGCACCCTGTGTTCAGTGACCTCCTCTGGTCTGCAGCCGAGGACACTGCTCCAGCCTGGGAACAGGGCCCCCAGGGTCCGCAGACTAGGGGGACGCCCAGCACTCACCATCATGAGCAGGGCACACCCCAGAGCCCGCAGGCAGAGAGAGGAGGTGCAGCACGTGCCTTTCAGCCTTGGCTGAGGGTGCCCGGGCACACACTGTGACCAGCTAGCCTGGACCCCACGCTGCCCTTGGAGCCGCTATCAGAGAGGGCCAGGGAAGCCTCCCTCATAAAGGGCTTCCCTTTGGGAAGCGACAGGCCAGGGTGAAACTGCTCTGCCCACTTGGAGCTAAGCATGCCACCACCCCACCCCGGCGGCCACCAGCTGCCCAGGGGCGTGTCAGCCGTCACCCGTTTAATCCTGAGGCACGTGGATCAAGGCTGCTGACCTGATTCTACCGGGGTGCTGCTTGAAGGGCTGAGGCGCCGCCCGAGTCCCAACACTGGTATGGTCTGAGCCGGACTCCACCCGGCCTGAGACCTGACGCTTGGCTTCCCCGTGACCTCCATTGACATCCACGACCCGCCCTGGAGGCACGGAAGGCTGTGGGGTTCCAGCCCTCCGAACTGTGCAGCTGAGGAAACTGAGCGCTTAACGGGGGTAGAGCCAGATCCTGGGCGGGACCCTGGCCAGGATGAACTCAGGGTAGGAGGTCTCCCGCGCACCCAGAAACGGGAGCGGGTCACCCCTTCCAGCCAGGGGTGTCCTGTGGCTCGCCTGGGGAAACAGCAGCCTCCTGGGGCTCGGCCCCGGCACGTGGTAGCCTCCAGGCCCACGTTCCCGCCGGAGCGGACGCCAGGCGAAGGGTCCCGGGACGCGCCGGCAGGGGGAAGGCGGCGGCCCTCCCGGCTGCGCGGCCCCGAGCCGTGCCCGGAGCGGGCGGCGGGCTCGCGCGCGGACGGCCCCCCACGCGCCTGCACAAAGCGCCGCGCGCCCCCGCCCCGAGCGGGCGCGGAGGAGACTGACCTGGCGGTCCGGGCGGCGCCGGCACGACGGGCGGAGGGCTCGGGACGCGCGCGCCCTCGTGCACAGGCGCGGCCGCGGCGCCGCCAGCTTGGGGCGCGCGCCGGACCCACCGGGTCACGTGGGGGCACGGCCCAATGGGAGCGCTCCCCACGCCGCGGCCGCGCGCTCGCCTGCCCCGAGGCCGCCCGTGGGCTGGGAGGAGGTGGCTGTGACCGCGCGGGCGGCCTCGGGCGCTGACCTTGGCTCGTGTACCTTGGCTCCTGTACCTGGCGGGCGCCTAGGCCAGGTCGGCCTGGGGCGGGCGGGCGTTGGAGGGGCAGTTTTGAAGCCCGAGTGAGGAGGCAGAGGGCGGGATGTGGACGAGGCCATGGAGTTGACGAAACTTCTGGAGTTCTCAGTTTCCCCCTAAGTCGACTGGGGCTGGGTCCCCTGCCGCCAGGCGGGCTGACTGAGGGGATGAGCTGGGGCGACAAGACAGCAGCCACCCGGCCCGGGTACTTGCGGTCAGACCGGCTTCGAGGCCCCCGGACCCCTGTGTTATCAGGACGGGTAGGGCGCCCACGGGACACGTGGTGCTCAGAAGAGCGGGAAGGCCTGTGGGGGGCCTGCCTGAGCTGCACCACCCCGTGCCTCCAGGCTGCAAGGCCAGCCCAGGTGAGGGCGGCATCTCAGCCTCCAGCCCTTGGGGACCTTGAGGACATCCTCTTCTAGGTCAACCCTTCCTAGGGAGGCTTGCGGCTCCAGTTACTGGAAAAACCAGTGCTGGTTCATGCAGGAGGCCCCAGGACAGGGGGAAACAGAGGCAAACTGGGGTCTCCCAGGGGGCCTTACCCACCCAGCCCTTTTCCATGCCAATCCCTGGGCCCTTGGCCCAGTCAGATGTTCAACTGCTCCAGTCCTGCCTCCACTTCCCCGAAAGATGCTCTTCCACCCATCCACCGTCAGCAGCCAGAGGGACCCCGGGAAGATGGGAGTGAGAGCCGCCTTCCTCTGCAAAAGCCTCCAGGCACCGCCTCACTGGTGAAGGCCAGAGACCCTAAACTGTCCCACGACCACCTGACTGGGCTGCCTCCCCGCCACCTGGCTGCCACCTCTCTCAGCGCCAAGCTCTTCCTCCAACCCAAAGTTTCCTTCCCAGCTAAGGGCGTTTGCACCTGCTGCTCCTTTTGCCTGGAAGTTCACCCCAGACTATTCCAGGGCTTCTGTCCTTCCCATTGCGTGGTCCCCATCAGCTGCCACCACCTCTGAGAGCTCAGCCTCCGCTGGCCCTCCTGTCTCTCAGGCCACTACACTCTCCACTCTGCCAGAAAGTCCCCCAATCAGTGACAACACAGGTCACGGTCCACACCTCATCTGGCTTGTCCCCGTGCCCAGCATCTGGCACAGAGCTGGTGCGTGCAAATCCTGGGCAGGTGGGTGAGCTGATGGTGTCCAGAGGCCCCTGGTCCTTAAGGGTAGGGGTGGGGATGTCTCAGAGGACATAACCTTGCAGACCCAGGTTCAAATCTGGGCTTATCAGCTCATTTAGTCCTCACACAGCCCATACTGGGAGGGCTAGTATTCTCTCTGTTTTGCTGATGAGGCACAGAGAATGTCAGCAACTCCCAAAGATTGCCCAGCAAGTTGGGAGTAAAGCTGGTACAATTCCCACATTTAACTGCTAAATAGGGTGTCCTGTACTTGGTGTGTTCAAGCAGAGATCCACACATGGGAAGGTCAAGGCAACATCCCTGGTGCTCCAGCTTTGAGGTCCTAGGAAAAAGGGAACCTCCCGTTAAATGCTTCTATTGCCGGGAAGTTCAGCACCTGTAAAAGCAGCCCCTTCCCATTTCATTGTGGCTGCATTTTAATTCTTATTTTTTTAAATGTTTAGCTTCAGGCCAGGCACAGTGACTCACACTATAATCCCAGCACTTTGGGAGGCTGAGGCAGGAGGATCACTTGAGCCCAGCAATTCAAGACCAGTCTAGGTAAGATAGTGGGACCCTATCTCTACAAAAAATACAAAATGAGCCAGACATGGTGTCATGCTCCTATAGTCCCAGCTGCTCGGGAGGCTAAGGGGGGAGGATCACCTGAGCCTAAGAGGTCAAGGCTAGAGTCAGCCCTGACTGCACCACCGCACCCCAGCCTAAGTGAAAGAGCAAGAGCCTGTCTCAGAAAAAAGCATGAATAAATAAATGTTTGGCTTCATCTAGCCTGAGCAGCACCAACTCCCCCTGCCCGTTTCATGCTATTTTCCTCCTCTCCTGCCCAAAATCCCAGAGAGGTTCTATCCCAGCCACCCAAATTTGCTGGGGTGAGTGGGCTCGCAAGAGGCTGGAGTGTCCTTCCTCCCCACACTCTTGTCATCCTGCAGGGAGTTGGGAGCAAAGGAGGAGACTCCTCCTTGCCGGATTCTTTTCGGTTCTCAGACATTCACCGAGTGCTGACCACATGCCAGGGACTTACACCCACCCACCAAGTCCACACTGAGCCCTGCAGAGGAACCCCTGACACCCCCGTTTTGCAGATTAGGAAGCAGAAGCTAAGTGAAAACAGAGTCAAGATTCAAACCCAGTCCTGGTGAAGCCAGAGCCGTCCAACTGCTGTGAGTGGAAGGGCCGGGCATGAACAGGCTTGGGGAGAATCCTGGGATTTCATAGCCGGAAGAGAGCTCAAAGTGATCGTGTTTGACAGAGGAGAAAATGGGGCCTCAGAGACGATGGCTGAGCCTTGAAAAGGTGGGGTTAGAAACCAGGCCCAGTCTTCTGAATTCCAGACTCCAGAATCTCCCCCAGGATTGAGGTATGTTCCACAGAAAGAATCCCAGCTCCACCTACCCCAGTCACTGGACCTGCCCTGCCCTGGAGGCATGGCCAGGAGGAGGCCCCCAGCAGGCAGGGGATTGCTGGAGGGGGCGCCGACCGTGCAGGACGGTCTAGACGGTGGTGAGGCCCTCTGGGTCTGGCAGGATTAGCAGCTTAGCTCCAAGGAGGACAAAGACGAGGTCAGCGCTAAGTGGATTTCTGGAAAGCCTCCTCCAGCCCAGCAGGGCCCTACAGGAGGGGCCCAGGCTAGGGGACCTAGATCTAGCCACAGAGGGCATGGGTGGGCTAATGGCACCAGCAGCAGCTCTTGAGCCCCCATCACTGCACTGCACACTTTCACCTCTCCTGGCCTCAGTTTCCCCATCTATAAATGTCATGGTAACAGCTCCAACCTCACAGGGCTCTTGGGAAGACCCCACAAGATGGTGCCTGTCAAGTGTGGCGTTGCCTCTGCCTGCGCAGAGCAGGTGCTCAGTAGATGTCTTTATGACTGTCTTTTGAATCCTCCTCCAGCCCTGAGGGTCAAACAAGATTAAAAAGAGCTTGTTGTTTAGTGGTAAGTTAGGTAAACAGAAGCGGGGTGCAGGAGTATACATCTAAGAAGAGAGTAAGTGTGGGGAACAATGCTCTCTGGGCCACCTCACATCCCCCCTGTGCCCTGATTTCAGTGGCAGTGGCCCATTCTGAGCGAGCTTGGACCCTCCTCCTCAGTGCCTGCCTGCCTTGTGTACCAAGCCCCGAAGGGCAGAGGAGGGCCAGCCCTCCGCAGTGTGGCCGGGCTGTGGTGGATACACCTGCCTCCCATCTGCAGAAGGACCTTCCTCAGGTGTCCGGCACACTTCCCAGGAGGTCCTGAAACCAGCTGAGGCCTCGATTACACACCTGTGTTGGCTCCCTCACCTGGTCATCACAAATAAACCACCTGCGCCCATGTCCCCATCTCAGGCTCTGCTATCGAGGGAACCAGCGTAAGCAGCCATGCCCCTGATGCGAAGAGGAAGTAGGGCTTGAGGGAGGCCAGGACTCAGGGGGTTGGCATGCAGGAGCTGCGAAGGTCATTTTCATGTCCCTCCTTCCCCGAGTTTCATGAATGCAACCATGCTACTATGATGATGCAATTTTTGTTTGTGTATTAGTGGTGCCTATGAAACCTGCTCTCTCTGCGCATCTGTGGTCAGAGTTCTGAGTGACTGGGCTGGGCGGTTCTGTCGGGGGTCTCATGAGATGCAGTCAGATGGCCAGGGTTCCAGACGTGCAAGGGCCTGACTGCGGCTGGGGGTTCCCTTTTGGAGCCCTCTCACTGTCCCAGCTGGCCAGGCCACGCAGGTTATTAGCTGCTGCCTCACAGTCTTCCTCAAGACGCCCCTCTGTAGGGATGCTTGGGTGTCCTCCCAGCACTGGGGCTGGCCTCCCCCATATGGAGTGACCCAGGAGAGCAAGACACGTGTGATCTGGCCTCATAAGCCACCCAGCACCACCTCACTGTGTTCTGTGGGGCACCCAGGCCTGCCCTGACTTGGCATGGGCAGGGTGGGGCGACTTCCTGAGCCTGCAGCCGGTGCCGCCTGCAAGGATGAGGGAAGACCACTGGAGGCTGAGCTCCGGCCCCTTGGGGGCTGGGGTGGGCGTAGGGCAGTGTCTGACCTGGACTTCTGAGACCACCAATGAGGTAGGGTATGGGAGCTTAGTGGGACACTGAGCTGGGACCACTGCACTGGTGGGGCTCCCCTAAGCCTGTATGCTCTAGCTGTGTGGCCCATTGACAGCTGAAAGGGCTCCTGGCTCCCACGGCTCCTGTGTTTGGCAAACTTTCATTGAGGACCTGTGCCAGGCCGCACTGGGACCTGCAGTGGGAGTCCCCTTAGACAGTGCCCCAGCTACCATACTGGGGGCACCCAGGAGGCACGTCCCAGGCACCGCATCTGAGCAGGGACCTGCCGGCCAAGCATTCTTCCTGGAGGAAAGGGGCTGGCGCTCAGCAGGCAGGAGGGGCGCCTTGGTGGAGGGTGGATGGGGGAGTCAGCAGGGACCCTGTGGCCTGGTGCTAGGGTCCCAGGCAAGAGCTGGGGTGTCTCCTGGGGATGACGGGGCCTCCCTGGGGGTGACCGTGGCCAGGTGTCCCACCATACACAGCCCTGCTGGCCTCAGCCCCATCTGGCACCTGCCATTGCACTTGTGACCCCCAGCTCCCGGAGGACCACCGTCCATAGATGCTCCCGCCAGTGAGGAGGCCGGGACACCCATGCTGCAGCGTTGAGGATGCCCGGGAGGGTCGGGGCGGGCGGGCCTGCGGGGAGTGGGCCTCAGGCACGCCACACGGGCGCCCCCTCGTGGGGCCTGTGGGCAGGGCTGCTGCACGGGGTGCGAGCTGGGCGCAGGTCACGGGCGCTGCCCTCAGCCAGGTCGAATGCTCTGCTGTTGCTGTAGGGCGATGTTGAACATTTTTGAATGAGAGGCCTGCATTTCCATTTGGCCCCGGGTCCCTAAAATTGCGTGTCAGGTCCTGCCTGCAGCCTCACCTGGCCTCCTCATCTGCTGGGATTTAGGGGAGACGCCAGCAAAAAGCATGCACATGCCAGCCCTGCAGCACCCCATTCAGGGCGAGAGGCAGAGCTGCAGCCGGGGTCTGCTCCTCACCCCACAGTCCCGGTGAAGGAGGATGCGATCTGCAAGCGCAGAGCCCCCCGCTCAGTCCTTTGAGGCTGAGCGTGTTCACAGTCTGACTGACGCTCCCGCACACACGGCACGGCCAAAGGGAGACCTCTCGTGTGTCTGATGTGCCCCCATCCTGTGGCCCATCAAGGTGGGGTCCAGCTCCGTCCTCTCTGCCCTGCAGGGTCCAGCAGAGCCGGCCTGGAGCTGCTGGTGGGGAGAGTAGCAGGGCTTTGGGATACCGCAGCTGGGTGTGGCCCCAAGGGTGGTGGAGGGCTCGGGGACTCTCGGAACAGGCCTGGCAGCTGGTGGGTGTCAGGGGGCTGGCCCAGCCACCACCCCCTACTTCCATCCATGGAGACTATGGCCCTGGGAGAGGCCTCCTCAGCACCCAGGGCTCCCGGGGGTCAGGACCCTCCCCCAGAGATCAGCCTGGGTGGGCCTGTCTTTTCACCCCCACCAAGGTAGGGAGAGCCCTCTCCATGAGTTGCCCCCACCAGGTCCTGAGGCCCAGAGCAGAAGCCCTCCCCAGGTATAGCCCAGACCACTGGCAAGTGGGGAGGGACAGGCTGGTCTGCAGGAAGACCCCCAGCTGGGCCTCAGCAAGCCCACCCCTCAGTGTGACTTAGGAAAATCTGTGTCTTCAGAGGGGCAGACCTCACAGGAGGTCTCCAGGGAGAGTGGGGAGTGGACTTCCGCCGGGGTCTGCCCAACTTACCCACCCACCCAGGTTCAGAACGCCCCTCTCCCCTGCACCCCTGGCCCACCAGGGGCCCCAGGAGTGGGGTTCCTGCCTCCTGTCCTAAAGCCCTCTCGTGTACCTCTGGGCAAGCGTATTGACAGAGGGCTTTCATCCCACCTCATTTTCTGGGAACCTCTTAGACCCTGGAGGGGCCCTCAGGGCTCAGAGACCACTGTCAAACCAGGAAAACACGCTGTTTCTGGCACTGAAGTTCCCAACCCTCAATCCAAGAACAATTTGGAGAATTTGTGATAAGGCTGTTTCTCCTGTTCTTTCCAGATTCAATGAATGTCCCTGAGCTGAGGAGAAGAGAGGAGAGATGAGGAAGGCAGAGAGGGGACAGGGGGAGGAAAGCAAGGAACAGAAGGAAGAAGGGGAGGACGGGGAAGGGAAAGAGAGGGAGGGAGAAAGGAGGGAGGTGGTGACGGGGAACATAAGAAGGGGAGGAGGCAGAAGATGTTTGGGGAAGGGATGAGAGATGGGCCTGGTGCCTGGGCCCCGTGCCTCCCACTCCTCAGCAGATGAGGCCTGTTGGGGAGGCTGAGGAAGGGAGATTGGTGTCCCCACAGGGAGCAGAGCAGGGCTGAATCTAGAGATGCAACAATGCAAAGGATCCAAATGTCCCCACCAGGCCCAGAAGAGGGCGGGGGCAGCTGGCTCCGGTGGGCTGTGCAGTGCCCAGCAGCAAGGAACGTGGGGCCAGGGCCTCCAGGCCTGATGTGTGCTGAGGCTGCATGCCGAGCCCCCCATGGGGAGCCCGGTGGGAAACAGAGGGCAGCCACAGAACAAGTGACCCTCCCTGGAGGTCGTGGGCCCCAAACACTGGATGCTTCCCAAGACACGGCAGGTCCAGGCTGAGGAACCCTGAGGTCCCGACCCTCTCACCATGGGACAGGGCCTGCAGGAGGCAGCCTCCAGGCCCCCTGAACCTGACAATACCTCGTCCTCCTGGTGTGTGGATCTGTCTTCCATGGGCTGGGATCCATCCGTGGTTGCCATCTCCCTCGTCCCCACCAGTGGGCACTCAGGGACAGGAGTTGAGTGAGGCTGCATATGCGATTCGGGGAACACAGGCACTGGTGGGAGCAGCACGGCTTGCTGGAGTCCCAGCTTCCTGGCCACTCTGGAGTCAAAGAAGGCTGTGGGTCTCATACCATGTCCTCAGAGCTGCTGACTGCCCTCCACAGGGGCCTTTTTCCCAGGAAAAATCTCTCATTCCTGGGACGCTACCACGGCCAAAAATATGGCCTGACAGGTACCCATCTGACGGGTGCTCCTCAAGCAACCATCCGCGGACACATGCTGGACCTGTACGATGCTCTAAACGGGGGGTGCACACTGCAGCCCTCTCAGCATGGGGGCCATGCACCACCCGTTACCAGGAGAGTCCCCGTGGACATCGGATTACAGCCTGCTGGGCTGGGCTGGGGAAGTGGCCGCCTTCAGCGGGGCACATGCCTCTCCAATCATCCCAGTCCCCCTCTGCAATGACAGGGCCCCAGGGAGCTGTGGAGAAGGGGATTTCTTCTTGCAAACAAAACCCCACAGGGAACCCCAAGTTCTAGCTCTAGTTTATTCCTCTATCCAGCAAGCATCAGTCAAACACCTCCTGCCTGCCAGGCCTGTGCCAGGACAAGGCGACACCAGACCCTGTCCTCCGGCTACATCAGGGAGGAATTGGCGAACAAGGGAAGGAACAACAGGAAGGTAGCAGTGGAGAGGCCAGGCGCGTGCGGTGGCAGTGGTAGTCCTCTGTCCTGCAAATCATCCAAAACCAAACAGCAAGGAAATGCAGGCGGGGAAGCAAACCCAGGAGCCCCTGATGCCCACGCTCTTAGCCACCCATCCACCTGGGTTCGGAAGATGCTCTCGGGGTTCACACTGAGAGAGAGGCTGGAGCTGGGCGATGGCCCAAGTGAGTTCAGAACAGGCTGTGGGGCGGGGGCACTCCCACATCTCTAGCAGGGCTTAGAGAACAGTCAAAAGTGGATTCCAGTCTCGGCGAGGCAGTGAGCATCCCCTCCTTGGAAGGTAATCGAACCTCTCTGGGGACTCTTGGGATGGTAGATGGGAGAGGAGATTTCTCCCCAGAGGGGAGACCAGCCTGCTGTCCCGGGCTCGGCAGCAGCTGAAACTCCTTTTGGGGAATTTTCTTTGGAGCTGATTTATGAGGCACAGGAAGAGCCCAGTGTGGTGCAGCCCCACACCGCTTGTGTCCAAACACAGCCTGTTGCTGTGGGCACCCTCACCCCCTGCTCCTGGCCCAGGGTGGGGCGACTTGCCAGGGCACACAGAGGCCCCTACCAGGAGCTGGCCTGATCCCTGACCTCTGACCCTGGGAGCATTTGGGCAGTGCTGGCTGAGGAAGCAAAACCGCCAGTGTGGCGTCCATCACACTTTCTACGTGTTTTAGCAGCCGGGTTTTTGTTTGTTTGTTTAAGAGACAGGGTCTCGCTCTGTTGCCCAGGCTGGAGTGCCGTGGTGCAATCATGGCTCACTGCAGCCTTGAACAACTGGGCTCAAACGCTCCTCCTGCCTCAGCCTCCAGAGTTGCTAGGACTGTGGCATGTGCCTCCACGGCTGGCTAAGCAGCAGGTTTCTTCTTGCAAACAAAACCTTACAAGGAGAAACTCCAAGTTAGAGAACTAGCTTATTCCTATACTAGCAAGCATCAGCCAAACACCTCCTGCATGTCAGGCCTGCACATGACAAGGTGATACCAGGCCCCGTCCTCCGGACACATCAGGGAGGGGTCAGTGAACAAGCTAAGGAA